AAGATGAATATCACTAAATCCCATCCCTGGTAACACCCCCCCCTTCTCCCATAGATCTAAACTTACTCCTGTTCAGAACATCCACACTTACTACTCTGCAATCTACATATACAGGACCTTAAAATCCAATATTAACCTTGACCTGAAATTTTTCTTGATAGTTGTGGACAGGACCCACAAGCATAACACCAGACACAAACATCTCTACGACATTCCCCGTGTCCGACTAAACCTTTAGAAAAATTCAATGCATTTCAAAGGCCCTAAAATCTGGAACACTCTACCTGAAAACTCTAGAACTGCAGACACATTCATCACCTTCAAAACTAACGTTAGAAAACATCTTATCTCCCTGATACACCCATCAACTAACTATATAAAAACCACCTGGTGGTTCACACTTACACTCACTCACTCACCCATTTGGACTATAAGCACAGAAATTGTATCTTAATCTTAAAATAATGATTCCTAACTAGTCACAAGTTTGCCTGTGATACTCCATATAGAAACTATGTATTGTGCGAAACAAAAGCATTCACGTTGCTAATCTCACAAACTAGTATTTAGTCACTTAGTATTTAGTCAACTTACTCCACAATTTGTAATAATTTTAGGGTTAAGAATTAATCTAAGTTTGCCCAAAATGCCTAGCCATGCTAGGTGTTCTAGTCGCCCCCTCTGTAAATAGTATTTTATTACATGTAAACTACACAATAACCAAAATCTGTAAAACCCCACATTGTAATCCTTATAGAGAATAAACTTTGTTTTGATTTTATTTGATCTTCCCAATACTTCTAACTCTCCATTTAATAACTCTTCTTTTTTATTTTAACTATCAAATCCATTCATTCCCAAGGCTTCCTAAGCTTATTAATCTCACCCCTAAACTTTTCTTATTTTCAATAAAATTTGTTGATAACATCTCACCCACTTTTTCATTTGCTCTCTTTTTACATTGCTTCACCACTCTCGTAACCTCTCTTTTCCTCTCCATATACCCCTCCCTCCTTGCATCACTTCTATTTTGTAAAAACCTCTCACATACTAACCTTTTCTCCCTTACTACTCTTTACATCATTATTTCACCAACTGCTCTTCTTCTCTCCCACACCCACTTTCCTGTAACCACAAACTTCTGCTGAACACTAACACTTCATTCTTAAACCTACCCCATACCTCTTCGACCCCATTCCCTATACTCTCACCAGCCCATTTATCCTCCAATAGTTGTTTATATTCACTCTAACTGCCTCCTTCCTTAGTTCATAAACCCTCTCACCTCACTTTCTGACTTCTTGTTTCTATTTTCCTTGTATCCCATCTACCTTTTACTTTCACTGTAGCTACAACTAAAAAGTGATCTGATATACATGTATATGTGGCCCCTCTATAACCAGTACATCCTGAAGTCTACCCAACAGTCACAGAAATGTTAGGAAGTACTTCTGTAGTCACAGTGGTCAGGAAGTGGAATAGTCTGGAAAGTGATGTAGTGGAGGCAGGATCTATACACAGCTTTAAGATGAGGTATGATAGAGCTCACAGAGCAGGGAGAAAGTGACCTAGTAGCGACCAGAGAAGAGGCGGGGCCAGGAGCTATGATTCGACCCCTGCAACCACAATTAGATAAGTACACACACACAAACTACAACTGGAAGTTAAAAATTCAGACAAATCATAGGGATGTTAGGAAGTCTTTCTTCAGCGTTAAAGTTGTTAGGAAGTTGGAACAATCTGGAGAGTGCAGTGGAAGAGAAAGGATCTATACATAGATTTAAAAAGAGGTACAACAAGGCTCTTTCAGCAGCGAGAGAGAGGAGCAGTACATAGCAAGGTGCTACTGTAGTCACAGTCATGTAACCTTCATACCAGTAGTGTTACAGTACTAATTCACCTTCATACCAGCAGCGTTACAGTAGTAACTCACCTGATCAATAGTCCAATAGTCCACTGCCATGGAACCTTCATACTTGCCCACTCGTATCCAGTATGAGTTTCTATGGACAATGCTTGCTGGTAGACGAGAGGTACAGTGTTGACCACAAACACTGTACGCTTGCTGCCACTTGACAGTGATCCACGGATCTAGAAAATTAAAACAAGCTAACTTGTAACACTCAAATACAACCAAGAAACAATTGTTCTGGCACAGATATTATAACTTATGGCACACAAATACAACAACTGTTCTGGTACAGATTCACATGATAGTTATCATGAATATAGTAGTTACCATGAAGGTAGTTACCATGATGGTGGTTATCATGAATATAGTGGCTACCATGAAGGTAATTACTATGATGGCAGTTATCATGAATATAGTGGCTACCATGAAGGTAGTTACCATGATGGTAGATATCATGAATATGTGCCTACCATGAATGTAATTACCATGAAGGTAGCTATCATGAATATAGCAGCTACCATGAAGGTATGTTGCTCTATTGAAATGTTTTTCCTTGACAAAAATTAAATATTAATAAAATTCACCCTTACTAGTTTACGCAAAATAATTATACACAGATTCTGCAAAGACATTTGGCAAATGTGATCATGAAGTGATCACACACAAAATGAGGGCCATAGGCATTACGGAGAAGGGGAACATATGAATTTTCGGGTTCCTAACACACGGAACAGAAAACACTGCTGAAACAAGTGTAGAAGTCTTCAAGAGGAAACTGGACAAGTATCTTCATTCAGGTACCAGGTCAACCAGGCTGTGATGGATATGTGGGACAGTGGGGCTCCAGCAACACTAGTCTGGTTGACCAGGCTAGCACCATATGTGCCTGACCCATGGCTGGGCTCTGGGAGCAGAAAGACTCTTGAAACTCATCAAAGGTATGGTAAAGGTACCATGAATCTATATCTACCACCACCACCACCACTACTACCTTCTACTACCACTACCATAAATTCCACCACCAGGAGTAGAAAGACTCTTGAAACTCATCAAAGGCAAAGGGCAAAGGTGCCAGGCAACCAGGCTATGATGGATATGTTGGGCATTTGGCCTCCAGCAGCAAGAGCTTGAAATAAAGTTGGTAAAATTTAAACCGACAATATGTAAAGTAAAAGGACACAAGTGCAACTATGTGACATTTATTGTGGAAAAACGTTTCGCTCTCCAGGAGCTTTATCAAGCCTTTTACTTGAAAAAGCTGATTATGGCTTGTTTAAAGCTCCTGGAGAGCGAAACGTTGCCACAATAAATGTCACATTTAGTTGCACTTGTGTCCTTTTACTTTACGCAAGAGCTTGGTTGCCAAGGCTAACACCAGACAAGTCTGGCCCATGGCCAGGCTCTGGGAGTTTAGACTCTCAAAATTTCATCAAAGGTATATCAAAGGTATCAAAGTTGTTGTTGTGCCCCCTACTGTAATACAAGTGTCCCTCCTGTAATAGTAGTGTCCCTCCTGTAATATAAACACCCCACCTGTCATATAAGTGCCTAGTAATTTTTTCATGAAATACAGGGGGGATCTGCTTATATAGCAGGTTTAGGTTCTAGGCTACTGCTGTGAAGTAAAAGTCACCCTAGTGTGATTTTACCCACTTTGAGTCCTATTTTAGGCCAATTAGTTTGCTCCAGTCAACCATATTCTTAGTTATTTCACTAGTTGTGCCTGATATTTTATTGATTGACAACAAGAAACTGCCCTATCAACTATTTCAATACCAAATCGAAATTGGTAACTTGGCCAATTTGACAAATTTCAAAATATTTTTTTTTATTATCACACTGGCCGATTCCCACCAGGCCCGGGTGGGCCCGAAAAAGAAAAGCTTTCCATTCATTCACTCCATTACTGTCTTGTCAGAAGGGTGCTTTACACTACAGTTTTTAAACTGCAACATTAACACCCCTCCTTCAGAGTGCAGGCACTGTACTTCCCATCTCCAGGACTCAAGTCCGGCCTGCCCGGGTTTCCCTGAACCCTTCATAAATGTTACTTTGCTCACACTCCCAACAGCACGTCAAGTATTAAAAAAACCAAATTTTTCTCCATTCACTCCTATCAAACCCTCACGCATGCCCTGCTGGAAGTCCAAGCCCCTCGCACCCCAAAACCTCCTTTACCCCTCCCTCCAACCTTTCCTAGGCCGACCCCTACCCCGCCTTCCTTCCACTACAGACTGATACACTCTTGAAGTCACTCTGTTTCGCTCCATTCTCTCTACATGTCCGAACCATTTCAAAATAGAGTCCAGAATAAACAATGCAGGTATTCCTGACACTAAAATAACATTTGCTCTGTTCATTAGTTATGTTTTCAAGCTTACACATGAGTTCTATTTTGATTTTTTATTCACAAAATGATTTTTTTTCACACCAAAAAAAAGAAGATTTTTTTGTTATTTAACCTTTGATTTTCTCCACAAGAAAGAATGTAAAAAAAAAAAAAAACGTAGAGCTACGTTGGGAGCGCTTCGTGAACAAACGTAGATCTATGTTTGGACAGTTTAAGGGGTTTAAAATTGTAATAAATTGTTTTAAATAATTCAGTACATTTGTGAACGCATGTTAACCCAGCAGGGTTGATGTGTATTGGATGCGTGTATTACGCTACTTTCTGCTCAGTTTCAAACTATTTTCAGTCATAAAACCCAACTGAAATGATCTCTGTTTCTGTAACGTATCTTACATTCTATAAATGAGACCAAGAAAACCCTGAATACAATTTAATTAAAATCATGGGAAACTACACTGCAAAGTCGCCTTTTTTAAAACCCAAAAAAACACGTTCAAAAATTTTTTTCCTCAATGATTATGCACTGAGTGCTGCAGGATTTTTTTTTATATGGTGCACATCTGCATGACAGTGTTTTCCCCATTGCAGACATGCAAGGCAGACATCAACCAAATCTTTCAGTGGGCTGCAGAAAAAACAATGTGAAGTTCAACGATGAGAAATTTCAATTACTCCGATATGGTAAACATGAGGAAATTAAATCTTCATCAGAGTACAAACAAATTCCTTCCAAAAAATAGAGTGAAAAATCAAGTCAAAGACCTGGCAGTGATCATGTCGGAGGATTCACCTTCAAGGAACCATAATATTGTATCAATCGCAACTGCTAGAAAAATGACAGGTGGATAATGAGAACTTTCAAAACTAGGGATGCCAAACCCCTGATGACACTCTTCAGGTTGCTTGGTTTTCTAGGTGGAATTTTTGCTGCACACTAACAGCACCTTTCAAGGCAGGTGAGTAAGTTGCTGACCAGAAAATGTACCGGAACCTTTACGGCACGCATAACGGAGATAAAACACCTAATTATGGGAAGCGCTTGAAGTTCCCGAACCTCTACTCCTTGGAACCCCAGGGGGAGAGATAATGATTATTACACCTGAAATCCTAGAGGAAAAGTACAAACTTGCACCAAAAAACTCACAACGAAAAACAAAACCTCGGCAGACGATTTCAACATCCCCAAAAGAAAAGCAGGGGTTTTCACTAGAACGTTAAGAGACAAACATAAGTGTCAGGGGCCTGGACTGTTTAATTGCCCTCCGCTAATAGGGGGATTACCAAAAAGACCCCTGGCTGTCTTTAAGCTGGCATGGACAAGCACCTAAAGTCAGTACTGACCAGCGGGCTGTGGTTCGTATGTTGGATTCTTGCGGCAGCAGTAAAAGCCTGATTGATCAGCTCTGATCCACGGAGGCCTGGTCACAGACCGCCCGGGAAAAAAATTGATCCCGGAGCTCTTTCCAGGTAAACTCCGGCACACTTACCAAAAAGAACCATTCTTTAATATCTAGGTCCAAATTTACCCCTCACAGCTTATCTGAGTGAGCTGAGCTCATCACATAGTAACAGGCTGACCATCACTAATCTGGCATCATCAGGACCTGTTATGTGCGGGTTATTTGTGTATGGACCTGTTGGGTGCTGGATTAGTGATTAGGTTAGAATACACTTTACCCAAGGCGATATTTAGGCATCGGAGATTTCACCCACTTTACGTCCTATTTCTGGCCCATTCCACTGTTCAGTCTACCAAACTGAAAATGCCCATTTACCTATTTCAAATGCCCAATAGTGGTCGGAAATCAGTAATTTGGCCAACTTTCACAAGAAATGTTAATTTCAAAACAGGGTCTAGAATAAACAATGCAGTCATTCCTGGCACTAAAATAACATTTTCTCTGTTCATTGGTCATGTCTCCAGGCCCTCTTTGTTACACTTGCTTTCCATTTTGAATATTTATTCACACAAAAAATAGAGGATTTACTGTTATTGTAATACAGTGGTTACTCGAGTTTCGAACAGCTCCCAACTCGAACAATTATGTAAGTCTATTTTTGTAAGTCTTTTGTAGTGTATTTTTGGGGGTCTGAAATGGACTAATCTAACGTAAATTATTCCTCATGGGAACAAATTCGTTCAGTATCGGCACTCGAACAGCCTTCTGGAATGATTAAGTTCATAACTCGAGGTACTGTACTTGTATAAATATTCGACCAGCAGTTGTATATACAGTGACCCCCGGTTCGTGATGCTATCAGTATCCGATAAATCCGGTATCCGATGCATTATACTGCAAAAAATTTGCCTCGGTTCCTGTTACAAAACCTGGTATGCGATGCGATTCGTACGAGACATGTCTACGTGTGGCTGAACTGCCCCTGTATACCAGTGTTTACAAGCCAGCCAGTGTGCGCACATCTAAGGATACATTCGGTACATTCCTTATTATCACTGTTTTTGGTGCTTGTTCTGCAAAATAAGTCACCATGGGCCCCAAGAAAGCTTCTAGTGCCTACCCTTCGAGACCAAGGGTGCTAATGACTACTGAAATGAAGAAAGAGATAGTTACAAAGTATGAAAGTGGAGTACGTGTGTCGGAGCTGGCCAAGTTGTATAGTAAACCCCAATCAACCATCTCTACTATAGTGAGCAGGAAAACGGCAATCAAGGAAGCTGGTCTTGCAAAAGGTGCAACTGTGATTACGAAACAGCGACCGCAAGTGTTAGAAAATGTTGAGAGACTGTTATTGGTGTGGATAAATGAGAAACAGATAGCAGAGATAGCATCTCTCAAGCTGTCATTTGCGAAAAGGCTA